AAAAAAAAAAAGGCAACCCCATCAAAAAGTGGATATGAACAGATACTTCTCAAAAGGATATGAACAGACACTTCTCAAAAGAAGACATTTGCGCAGCCAATGGACACATGAAAAAATGCTCTTCATCACTGGTCATCAGAGAAATGCAAATCAAAACCACAATGAGATACCATCTCACACCAGTTAGAATGGCAATCATTAAAAAGGAAACAACAGATGCTGTAGAGGATGTGGAGAAATAGGAACACTTTTACACTGTTGGTGGGAGTGTAAACTAGTTCAACCATTGTGGAAGACAGTGCAATTCCTCAAGGATCTAGAACTAGAAATACCATTTGACCCAGCAATCCCATTACTGGGTATATACCCAAAGGATTATAAATCATGCTACTATAAAGGCACATGCACACATATGTTTACTGTGGCACTATTCACAATAGCAAAGACTTGGAACCAACTCAAATGTCCATGAATGATAGACTGGATTAAGAAAATGTGGCACATAGATACCATGGAATACTCTGCAGCCATAAAAAAGGATGAGTTCATGTCCTTTGCAGGGACTTGGATGAAACTGGAAACCATCATTCTCAGCAAAGTATCACAAGGACAGAAAACCAAACACTGCATGTTCTCACTCATAGGTGGGGATTGAACAATGAGAACACCTGGACACAGGGTGGGGAACATCACACACCAGGGCCTGTTGTGAGGTGGGGGAATGGGGGAGGGATAGCATTAGGAGAAATACCTAATGCAAATGACAAGTTAATGGATGCAGCAAACCAACATGGCACATGTGTACATATGTAACAAACCTGCACGTTGTGCACATGTACCCTAGAACTTAAAGTATAATAATAATAAGAAGAAGAATTTGAATTTAGACATGTTAAAATATATATTTATACTAGTAAATGATCATACTAATTTGAAATCAAATAGCTAAAATACTGAAGCATCTATTCCAAGGGAAAAAATAGTCAAAATTCCTACTATCTTGTGATACTTCATACAGTCAGTCCTTCTGTATATTTCAAAAAATGATTTCTTGAAACCTACTATAGCTAAGAAAGTGGCAGGTTTCAAAGATGATTGTAGATTTCAGCTTGGGAAATTGGGTCTTCATTGAAATTCTGAAGGGAGAGTAGGATTAGAGAAGACACATTTCTTCTCAGTATGCTGCTTGTAATGTTTGCACAGTACTTTGTCCAAAGGATCTAGTCAGCAGTTACCTATATAATCTAAGGCTCTGGATAAAATTTGAGCTATAGACATGAATTTGGGAGTCATTAGACTATGAATGACAGTTGATGTCACGAAAGTAGATGAGACAGCATGGCCTGCCCTTTATTATTTAATTCACATCTATGTCTCTTCCTTCATTTTCCGTATCTTGAAAACACATTTAACATCTCTCCAATCTCCACTCTGACCAACTCATTCCTGAGCTTCAGTCATTGGGAGTGGTATTCCTCACACATGTCATAGTGTTGCTTCTATGTTTTCCCTTGTTCTTGTTTATTATGCAATGTATTCATGCTTATTCTCTTTTCTGACACCTATACATTATTCAAAATTCAACTGAAGTGTCACTTTCCCTTGAATACCTTCCTTCTCTGACCCTACTATTCCGCATAAGAAGCTCCTTCTGTCTGTTCCCATGGTACTCTGTGTATTACTCTATCATACTAGATAGATATAAAAATATCTATCCAGTGTAAAAATAATAAAACGAACATTCAAGTACTCACCACATTGCTAAGACTGAGAACATTGCCAATACCTTTTAAACTCACTTTGCGTCCCTTTGACACACACCATTTTAAAATTTATTTCAGAAATACGAAATCAGTGCTTCAAGTATGTATATTATCTATTGAGTTACTATAAAAATCACTTTCAAAAATTAAAGTTTGGAGATGTGAGGAAGAAATTCACACACGCCTTCAGAAAATTGTCTGTTGCTAGTGTTGAAAAACAAGGCTAGGAAATCTCCCTGTCAGACATATCACACTTCCATACACACATAAATTTTAGATTACCTTAAGTAGTGCCTCTAGAACATAAAGTGTGAGAAAACAGTAGTTAGTGTGTTTTAATTCTCTGCGGTAGATTACATTTAACCGGGATATCCAAGAGATTACAAAAGGAAATATATTCATTAATATCACAAGGCATCCAACATGTTCAAATTCCTCAGTAAATACTATTGTATGGCATAAATGAAAAAAGAAGTATCTGTAAAATAAAAAGACAGTTTTAAAAGGTTTACATTAAAATGATTTTCATATACACTCATTTCTGTTCTGCTTATCAACAGCCACAGAGCCCTCCTTAATTCTTTTTTTTTTTTTTTTTGAGACGGAGTCTTGCTCTGTCACCCAGGCTGGAGTGCAGTGGCCAGATCTCAGCTCACTGCAAGCTCCGCCTCCCGGGTTTAGGCCATTCTCCTGCCTCAGCCTCCCGAGTAGCTGGGACTACAGGCACCTGCCACCTCGCCCGGCTAGTTTTTTGTATTTTTTTTAGTAGAGACGGGGTTTCACCATGTTAGCCAGGATGGTCTTGATCTCCTGACCTCGTGATCCACCCGTCTCGGCCTCCCAAAGTGCTGGGATTACAGGCTTCAGCCACCGCGCCCGGCCAGCCCTCCTTAATTCTGAAAGCAGCCACCACTAGCTAATACGTTCTGGCATCCTGCTTCAGAAATTTTCCTTTTAATTTCTTCCACTGATCCTCCTCTGTCTTGAGTCTGGTTTCTCCTTTTTCTTTCTCTCCCTCCGTAAATCTCATTCACTTTTTCTTTTTACTTTTAATAGAAATATTGTTGGTATAACACAGGAAAAATTCAGAATTCAAATTCAAAAATTCAAACTATTTAAAAAAATTTTTTTTTTAAATAAAGAGAATACTTTCTAATTTTTGATAATTCCTATTTTCAGAGATGAATACTATTATTTTGAATATTGTTCCAACTTTTTATTTTTATAAAATGATTATCTATAAACATAAAAGAAGTTATATGACACATATTTTTCTGTAACCTGCATTTTTCCCTCTTCAAAATGTATCATGAGCATCTTCTCTTGTCAAGGTGTAAAACTGGGATCAAAGCCTAGGATGGATGGTGGTGGAATATATGGATCCAGATTTTATCACAAAATTTAAATTAATGTATATGCTTTGAAAAATAGCTTCCATACTCAATATGATGGAGAGTAGAAATGTACAAAAAAGATTTACTTTTAATATTTTAATTATATTTTAATTGTTCAAGTAGTATAATAATACACTATTGTTGTTAAAAATTTGCATGATAATGATTAATTAACTGCTGATTGAAGACTGGGTAAGTACCAGATCATTTTCTCATTCTCAAAGGTACATCTATGCCATGGCCCAGAAGCTTTTACAATTTTGGATCCCCTTTGAAAAAAAGATGATGAAATTATGAGTGCAGTAATATATAATCCGTGCTCACATTGCCAGGGCCCTCCAAGGCCTCTGGCAGTTCCTCTGTAATGGGAGCCACAGAGTTTAAGCCTTGTTAACTTTGTGGTAACCCCTCTGCCCTTCTCTGTCCTCACTCCAGGCTGCTTTTCTTGATCTCTCCCAGCAGCAAAACCATGTTTGGCAAAGCATGGCACTGGAGGTTACCTTTGCTTAAGTTTATGGTTAAATTTGCAGTCACTGATCTCATTCATTTTGTCCCTAGCTATATTTCTTTCCTTTGAATCTAAGAAAAAAAAAAAAGGAATTCAAATTGAAAAGGATGAAGTAAAATCTCTATTTGTGGATGACATAATCCTATACACTGAAAATCCTAGAGAATCTGCAAAAATCAACTAGAGCTAATAAACAAAATAGCAAAGTTTCAGGAAACAAAATTGATATATAAAAATCAATTGTATTTCCATACACTAGAAAGGACTGACCTGAAATGAAATTATGAAAACAATTCTATTTAAAATAGCACCAAAAAGAACAAAATAGTTACGATTAATGTTAACCTAAAACTTGCATGCGCAAAACAACAAAACATTACCAAAATAAGTTAAAGATTTAAATAAACGGTAAGACATCCCATGTTCATGGTTTAGATTAATATTGGCTTAATATTGATAATATGACAACACTATCCAAAGCAATCTACAGATTAAATTAAATCCTATAAAAATCTCGACCTTTTTCTTTATTTTGCAGAAACAAGCAAGACAATCTAAAATTTATATGGAATTGTAAGGGACCTTAACTAGTTACAACAATCTTGAAAAAGAAAAGTTGAAGGACTTATATTTCCTGATAACAAAACTATATACCAGCTGTGGAAAACAATTTGGTGATTACTCAAGAAACTAAATATAGAATTACCACACGGTCCTGCAATTTTACCCCTGGGATATGCCTAAAAGAATAGAAAGCAGGTATTCAAATAAAAACTTGCACATGAATGTTCATGGCAGCACTATTCATAATAGCCAAAAGGCAGAAACAACTCAAATGTCCGTCAACTGATGAATGGGTAAATAAAATGTGGTATATTTACCATGGAACATTATTCAACCTTCAATAGGAATCACATATTGATACATGCTAGAAAGAGGATGACCCTTACACTACTAACACATTCTGCTATGTGGATGAAAACATTATGCTAAGTGAAAGAAGTCAGAAACACAAGGCTACATAGTGATGATTTCATTTATATGAAACATTTGAAATAAATGCATTCACAGGGACAGAAAACAGACTGGTGCTTTCCAGGAGAAGGGTGGAAAGGGGAAATGGGAAATGACTGCTTAATGAATACGCAGTTTATTTTTGGACTAATAAATAACACTACATTGTACACTTTAAAATGGTTAATGGTTAACTTATGTATGTGAAATTTACCTCAATTAAAAAGAGAATACTATTCCTGTCTTTTTTATTCTTCAAGTAACTTTATAAATGTACATAAGAAATTTAGGGTGGTGACTGACCCTCACATTTCTAATAAACATTCTGTAGCTCTTTATGCCCTAGGATACTCATCAGTCTCCTCTGAGATGGCTACCACCCACTTTAAGCTTTAAATCAACTGTAAAGACAGGAAAAAAAACCCTTTATTTTTTTTAAAATAAAAAATTAAAAGGATGTAGCTAAGGTTTACAGTGGATGCTGGCCAGATCATTTTTCTCTTAGATTATGCCATAATCTCCTATGATTTTTTATGAAAACTCTAACAACTTATGGTGGTACCAAAACTTGTGGTGAGTTTCAAGGCTGATTTAGTAACAGGTATAAAAGGTGAATTTGTTCATACAAATTATTTTTGTTTTCTTACTTTAGGTATGTTTGTGAGCATTTTCTATGACTGTAAATAAGGCCATTTTTCAAATAATAAAATATGCAAACATTTTTAAAAAGAAATTTCATTGTAAAATTACTCAAAATATTTTGCAAAATATTCAGGATACAATTTTAAAAGAAATAAGCAGGGAATTTCAAGTGAATATAATAGCATTTCTTATAAGGTTGAAAAGCTCTTACTTTGATGGGCCCACTTTTTCCTTTCTGGTATTATACACCCAATTGAGAAGTAGTTTTCTAGTAAAGGTAATTGTTTTTTGGCTTTCGGAATAATTCTTTATTGTCTCAAGACGCATACATCTAAAAAAAGAAAGAAATCTTCAAACATGCTTTAAACATTTTGAAATAAGTTTAATGTTGTACTGTCAGAAAGCAGGAAGACTATTTTGTGCCATGATGGCTGGATTAAGACATTTTCATGGGCATAGTTCATGAAGCTAGATTGTAAGGCTCACTGGTTAAACAGAGAGTATTAAAAATTGGAGATATATGGTTGAAAATAATGGAGATTTCAAGGTTCAGGGACAGAAAACATACTATGTTTCAAATATTTGGGATTCAGACACCTGGGTTTTCATGTTAGACTCGCCATTGTCTGGTATGGCAATGGACACATTACCTCATTTACTTCTTGCTAATCTGCAAAGTAAGGATAAAAATACCGATGTTAGGCTGGGATAATTAAATGGGAAAGCATGTATAAGGCATCCAACTCATATCACACATCTTCCCATCTCTTTGTCTTCACTTTCAAAGCAGGTAGTAAGGTTTAGAATGACTAAAAATGAGTTTAAATGGTAACTCAGAGAAGTCACTGGTTATAAGAGCTCAGTATAATTTTGGTAGCCCTTGTCCCAAGTTTTCTGTAGCTTTCTGCTGGCTTTTTTTTAAACTGAGACAGCTCAGATCTGTGTATATGATTGTGTCTTGTTTAGCCAATCTCCTTGGCTTTTCAAGGAATTTACCTTCTGCTGACCAGATACTTTCATTATCATGATCAGAAGGAGAGTAAGGCTCTGCCCTTGGGTCTGAGGCCCTACCTTATAATGTGGCTTAATGGAAGGGCATTGGAAACCTAAGTTCAAAGGTAAACTTCGCCCTTTCCGTGAATTATAATGTTCTTACTTTAAAACTTGTGTATCTATCTATCTATCTATCTATCTATCTATCTATCTATCTATCTATCTATCTATCTATCTTACTACAGGGATACTAATGTAATCGAAAAGAATGAAGTCATTCAATTATCTGTAATTCAATATAATATGTGGTAAATAAATGGAAAATGTTGAATGTATATATGACTTGCTTCATTTATAATTGAAAAAATATTTATTCAACATCTGCTATGGTTGTTAAATGCTAAAGATAAACCACAAAGAAATACTGGTCTGCCCTCAAGGCTCCAGCAGACTAGTGGGATGAAACATGTAAATACCAATTGCAGTAAAATGTGGTAAGTGTTGCCACAGAGATAATAAACGAGAGGGCCCCCTGGACCCACAAAAATAAGCATTTAATATAGTCTCATTGTGATATCTATGTGTGACACTTTACAGCACAAATTACTAAGTAATTCAGGCTCTTGAATTCCTATCAATGTGTTCACTGTTTAGTCCTGATTTAGGGGAACAGTATGATCTATTTAACTAGACAGTGAGGCAGCTTGGCTTTGAATCCCAACTCCGTAATTTATGAGTCAAACGACCTTGCATAAGTTATTTAGTTTCTCTTTGCTTTTCTTTCCTAGGAAAGAAAATCTGCATCGTGAATATAATAACAGCATCTATCTCATAAGATTCTTCTGAGGTAAAATAGGTTAATACGTGTAAAGTGTTTAAAACTGTACCCGGTATGGCACTCAATAAAAATAAACTATGTGCTCAAAAGATTATTTTTTAGGCAATTATACAAGCACTTAGCATAGGTCCTGGTGCTCCTTTTAAACCCTCCACTCTTTCTTTTCTTAGACTTGTTTTTCTTGCCACGGGTCACCCTGACACATGAGGCGCTGATAGGAATAATTAGCAAATGGTAAAATCAACTCCAAGGCAGCTCAGCAAAGAAGCAAGAACTGAATATAAGCATAATCAATAGAAAGTTCTCTAGGGGCTGGAATACCATTTTGCTAATATTAATATTCCCTACAGTGACTGGCATATATTGATAATATATAGCTTTGCACATATTGGTATTTAATGTATATCTGTTACATGTATGCATAAAAAATGTAATACATTCCAAAGTTTGCCTTCATAGTCATATGTTGCTTCTGCCTTTGTGGAACATTTAAAGAGAAAAAAATCGAGGCAGTGGGCTGAATTGCTCTATGTTGTTTTATTTTTATTTTTATTTTTGAGACAGAGCCTTGCTCTGTCGCCCAGGCTGGTGTGCAGTGGCGCAATCTCAGTTCACTGCAACCTCTGCCTTCCGGGTTCAAGCAATTCTCCTGTCTCAGCCTCCTGAATGGCTGGGACTACAGGCGCATGCCACCATGCCTGGCTAATTTTTTTGTATTTTTAGTAGAGATGGGGTTTCACCATATTGGTCAGGCTAGTCTTGAACTCCTGTCCTCAGGCGATTCACCCACCTTGACCTCCCAAAGTGCTGGGATTACAAACATGAGCCACCATGCCCAGCCTGTTGTTTTATTTTTATATTAACATCTCCTGGAAAATATTTTAATGATGCTTTTTATTGTGTCATTTATTAAAAACTTCCACTGTACAATGTGCACCTTTCTTCTTTAAAATATGCATGATATTGTTTTGAATTGATCACATTTGCCCAGCCCTCTCTTTCAACTCCCGCAACTTTACTTGGTCACCTAAAGCATTAGAAGGACCTGGATCAAAAGGACAAATGGAGACCCTGGTACCATAGATGAAAATATTCAAGCATTATAAATCAAGGAAACAATATTTTAAATAAGATATATTTCATCTTCCTATCATGACACATACAATGTCATAATGATTTGTATGACTAGGTTTAAAATGAAAACTCTTAGTTACTTTGAAAGTCTGTACTTGAAATGAAATGCAAATATGCCTTAATTTCTGGCTGCTTCTTTTCTAACATCTAACTTTATCCTTCAGTGTACCACAATGTTATAAGTGTGACTTAACACAAGGTTGGCACATCCTTCAGGTTTAGGGGTATGCACACCAAAGACCTGGTTTGCTCATGGGATGATGGACCAGGAGTAGAGGCCCAAATAGACTCTGAAAATAAGCTTAGGATAATTTAAGCAGGGAATTTTGGTGTCTTCAGGACTGTTGTCTAGAACAAGAAGGTATGTCTGGGTGGACATTGTTACAATTGCATTGCAGTTTAACCCCTCTCTTTGCCCAATCATAGATCTAGCATTCCTCCACAGGGGATGATCTGAGGGTACCCCCCAAAACACTAATTTTGAGGTACTCAAGCTTATTTTGGAGACCTATATCTAAAGAAATCACTATAAGATTACAAATGTGTGCTGAGTATTAAGAGAAGATGTTGAAGTAATACCTATGTATTGGGGAAGATGTACCTGGAGGGATTAAGGAAGGCTTCACCCTTACTTAGTCTGGCATTCAAATTGTCTAAAAGGAAGAGTTCTTTACCCTAGCTTACTTTTTGGCAGCGGGAGGACAAAGAACCAAAGACAGTTTCAGTCAGAAGGAACAGCTTGTTCAAAATCATAGAGGTATGAATGAATGCAGCAAATTTGGGAAACTGAAAATAGATAGTCTGGCCTGAGGGTGGGATACAGAGCAGGCAGCTCTTCTGTAATACTAGGGTATTAATGTTAATAGTAGAGGGAGCCAAGTTATCAGACAAAAACAAGAAAACTCACTTGGGTAATTTCCTAAATGCTGTGGCTTAGAATAGAAGCCATCTCTTGAGAACATACTTACTTTCCCTTCTTCTCACCAAAACTTCCTGCTGCACCTACCAACACCTGGACAGCACTCTGGGACAGAATCTCATTCCTGTATTGTCTCTGGTAGCTTGCCTAAAAGAAATATTAATTCAAGTCATTATATAGCATGAATAGCAATGACTACTTATTACAATCTTGATGGGAAAAAATGTGTGATAAAGAAGTAAAAACACTCAATCTAATATGTTTGTAAAAAGAATCTTTCTATGGAGTTCAGATTATAAGATTACTGGATAAGGTAGGTCTTGGCTTTGGGTGGAGCCACACTGGTTCTGAAGGAAACTAGAGGTCTTCTAGACATGGAATTAGGTTTTCAAAAAATAAATTGAACTTGTTGGCAAATGAGTTTGGGAACTGCTGCAAGCTATATCCACATCTCAGAAGTTAATAATGAATATTAAAGGCTCTGAGAAACCCTACAGTAAAAAAAAAATCCTACTACACATCTTTATTTAATTGAATTTTCTCAAATATTTCTGCAACAAGGCTCTGCTGCCTCATCTGTGATAAGGATTAAAATTACTATAGCTTTGTAACTTATATAATTATTTATAGAAAATTTTGTAATTTATAAGGAATATTATAATAAGAGACTGCTACTGTTTGGCAGAATGCAGTCACTTCTTCATTCAATACATATGTAAAGAGCCTTCTGAGCTTCAGGGACTATGTCTGATGATGTGGAAACCAGTATCTGATACTGTTCCTGGCATCCATGTGCTGAAGACTGTTGAGAATCACTGTGTAGACCAACTTCCTTAACTGAAATTTATTATATGACCAAAGAATTCTAGGTTCTGCAGCAGGGATTCTCTCTGCATGATCAGTTTTGAATATTAAACACTGCTTTGTTTGGGGGAAATACTAGAAAGAAACAGCAATGACATTTGAGGATGTGGGATGAAAAAACTTTTCCCATAATTACAGGAATTCGATAGAGTAGCACTCTTCTCCTTAAATATCATTAAAATATGTTTAAAACAATATTAAATCAAAATATTCTTAGTATCCTCAAGATAAGAATAGTAGTTTGTGGAAAAAATGAGGAAGCTGAAGATTATATGGATCTCGTGAAAGCTTAGCAATACAAACACCAAAGCAATTAGATACCAGAAGATGTTAATTGTTAAATTATCTTTCCCAATGGGAATGCAGAAACCAAATCAACAAATCAAGATAAGCATGAAAATATATCTAAAATTAAGAAGAACTAGGAAGATATTAAGTGAAATGAGGATCTAGAGAACAGAGTAGAGAAATCCAATCTACTTTGAAAAGTGAGATTTCTTGATTAAGACATAATAGCACAAAATCAATGATCAAAATATAATAGTAGAACCCAAACATTTGAGGCAATAAATCAAAAAGTTACGTGGAGTGTACATTGCAGAAAACATAGAATATCACAAGTGAAAAAGAGGTTATTCAGTCACCATAAGTTTCCCCTTTCATAGATCGGGAGAATAAAAACTATATAGATAAGTCCTTAGTCACATATCATATTAATAATAAAAACAAGACTCAAAATGAAGTCTCCTTCATTTATTTTGTGGGTTCTTGAACACCATATTTTCCTGAAATAAATTAAAATTGGGAAGTGACTAAAAGACATGGCCTCATAACATTTTTAAGTTACAAGGAAATAAAAATAACTCTACAGGTATCCAAACAAAAAAGAAAGCTGTATTTAATTTCATAAATATTAATTTATTAATTGCATAAAAATCATTCATTTGTCTTCATATAAATGTATCATTACTTGGATAAAACTCCTATTTTTTTGTCTGAAACATCTTTAAATATTTACTAATCAATTTTTTTTCTATAAAATTACACTAGAGACACTAGCCAAACCATTGAAAAATACATTTCAAAGATATTCTCAACTGGGAATATTATTGGAAATAATCAGTGAAAATTATAATATCAATATATTAAAGAATGAAATATGTAATAAAACATATCTATAAACGGCTTCTTGTTTATAAGAATAATAAGCATAATCATTAAAACAAAACTTAAAGTATAAAAGTGAAAAGAAGGGAACTCCTTCCTTACTGTAAATGACGAGTTGATGGGTGCTGACGAGTTGATGGGTGCAGCACATCAACATGGCACAAGTATACATATGTAACAAACCTGCATGTTATGCACATGTACCCTAGAACTTAAAGTATAATAATAAAAAAAAAAAAAAGAAGGGAACTACTCTAGGAGACTAAGGCAGGAGGATTCTTTGAGCTCAGAAATTTCAGACCAGTCTGAGCAACATAGAGAAACCTTTTTTCAAAAAATAGAAGAGGAGCACAAAGAGGTTTCAGAACATTGAACTAAATTCATGTTCCAGCCATGGGTACAAGGCCTAGTAAGCAATTTTTTTTTTAAATGAACGTAGAGGTAGATTGAGAAAAGGGAAATGAAAACATGTGGCTACTCTAAACGTACATCTAAAAGTACATCTATAGTTAACATTTTAGTTAGAAAGTTAGAGAGTATTATTGACATTTATATCATTTGTAAGGCAAAATTAGATACTTTTTGAAGTTAGTTTATCAGACAGAAGTAAACAAAGAATGATATATATCTCAATACAAAAGAAACAAAGAAAGGAAAGTAGGCACGCAAAGGAAAAGAAAAAAAGAAAGAAAAAGAAAGGAAATTAAACAGCAAGAGAGGAGTGAAAGAAGAGAAGAATTGAGTTATCAAAATAGAAGAGCTATTAGATCCTATAATAAACCTGAAATACTTCAAAGACGTTCAGATTAATTAATTGAGTGAATATTAATTGAGTGCCTACTATGTACTACACATTGTGGGATTCACTGAAGACATTCAGATGAATAAATCACAGTCTTTAGCCTAAAAAATATTACCTAGGTTTACTAGATTTGCCTACAAGGAAAATTAACTATACTAAAAAGCAAAATTTCAAGGATAGCAGCATATGAGCTGAGCTGCTGGCTAACCAGCCTCTTGCTTCCCCAGAGTGAAGATCAGCCTGGAACACTGCCCTCAAGGGAGTAGCACCTGAGAAGAGATACTGACTGACCAGTCCCTGCACTTCCCCCAGATCACAGATGATCCTGGTTCTCTACCCATGGTAGCGTAGCCAGCTCCCTCATTCACAAGGGAGCAGACCCCACATAGGTATACCAGCCATACAAACTTCTGCAGCCTAAGCAACTGAGGCACTCACAGGCATCAATGACATTGACTGTAACTGAAGAAACTGTATTGAGGCTATGCTATTGTATCCACCCAGTATAAAGCTAATGCACCCTACCCAACTGATACCTTGGGACATATCTGCAGGTGAGTCTTTCCCCATGAAAGCCACTATACAAAATTGAAAGAGGCAAGTGTTTCACGAGATCTAAAGACATCAATACAAGGACACAAAAAACATGAAAAAGCAAGAAAATATCTCACTGTTAAAGGAACACAATAGTTCACCAACAACTGGTCCCAAAGAAATGGAAATGCAGAAGCTCCCTGAAAAGGAATTTACAATAATGATATTAAGCAAACTCAGCGGACACAATAAAATCAGAAAAGCAATTCATTATGTGAATGAGAAATTCAACAAAAAGATAGATATTATAAAAAAAAAATAACTGAACAGAAACATTGGCGCTAATTCAACGAATGAAAAAAAAAATACAATTGAGAGCTTTGATAACAAACTAGATCAAACAGAAAGAAAAAATCTGTAAACTCGAAGCCAGATATTTTCAAATAACCACGTCAGACAAAAGAGAAAGAACAAAGAGAAAAAGAGAAAGATACATAGATAAGAAAGAAAAGAAAGGAGAGAGAGAGAGAGAAAGAAAGAAAGAAAGAAAGAAAGAAAGAAAGAAAGAAAGAAAGAAAGAAAGAAAGAAAGCAAGCGAGCGAGCCAAAGAACCCAAGAGAGCTCATGGGACCTATGGGACATCATTACACAAACACATGTTATCATTACGGGAATCTAAGAAGAAGAGATGGGAAAAGGCATAGAAAATATATTTAATAAAGTAATAACAGAAAACTTCCAAGTTTTTGAAAAGATATAGACATCTAGATCCAGGAAGGTCAAATATTCCCCAAAAGTTTCAACCTAAAAAATTATTCTCTGAGGCACATTATAGTTAAATTGTCAAAAGTCAAAGACAAAGAGAGAATTTTAAAAATAGAAAAAGTGTCAAGTCACATATGAAGGAATCTCCATTAGAATATCAGCATATTTCTCAGCAGAAACTTTATAGGCCAGAAGAGAATAAGATAATATGGTTGAAGTGATGAAAGACCAAAAAAAAAAAAAACTTTCAACCAAGAATACTATACACAGAAAAGCTATCCTTCAGAAATCAAGTGTTTCCCTGACAAATAAAACCTGAGAGAATTCACCATCATTAGACTGGACTCACAAGAAATGTTTGAAAGTCCAATATCTGGAAGCAAAACAACAATAACTAAGATTGTAAAAACATGTAAAAGCCAATGATAGAGCAGATACACAAATCTTAAAGAAAAAGGAATCAAATCTTATTATTACAGAAAAACACCAAACTTCAAAGATAAACAAAAAGAAATACACACAAACTCCCCCCAAAAAAACCAACTAATAAAATGACAAGAATAAGTTTTCACCTTTTAATAATAACCCTGAATGTAAACTAATTAAAATTTCCATGTAAAAGATATAGACTGGCTGAATTGATTAAAAAATAAGACCCAACTACACACTGAAGTGACACCCAACTAAGTCACTTCACCTGTAATGACACCCACAGACTGAAAGTGAAGGGGTGAAAAAAGATATTTCTGGCAAACAGAACCCAAAAATGATTAGGAGTAGTTATATAGCTATACTTATAACTGATAAAATAGACTTTAAGTAAAACTCTGTAAGAGAGACAAAGAAGTTTACTATATAATGATAAAGGGATCAAATCAGCAAGAGGACATATAAATACCAAAAACCAGAGCACTCAGATACATAAGGCGAAAATTATTAGATCTGAAGGAAGAGAAAGATTCCAATACAATAATAGTTGGGTCTTTAAAATCCCGCTCACAGCATTGGAAGGACTTTCTAGACAGAAAATCCACAAAGAAACATTGGATTTAAACTGCACTATAGACAGAACATTTCATTCAAGAACAGCAGAATACATATTCTTCTCATCAGCACATAGATCATTCTCCAGAATAGAGCATATGGTAGGTCACAAAACAAGCCCCCCAAATTTTTAAAAAATTAAAATCATACCAAGTATCTCTTCTGACCACAATGGAATAAAACTGGAAATTGGTAACAAGAGGAACATTGGAAACTGTACAACCACATGGAAATTAATCATGTTCCTCAACCACTGATAGATCAAGGAAAAAAATTAAGAAGGTAATTCTTTATTTTGAAACAAAAATAGAAACACAACATACCAAAACCTATGTGATATAGCAAAAGCTGCACTAAGAGGGAAATTTATAGTAATAAACTTCTACATCAAAAAAATAGAGGGCCAGGTGTGGTGGCTCATGCCTGTAATCTCAGCACTTTGGGAGGCTGAGGTGTGCAGATCACTTGAGGTCAGGAGTTTGAGACTAGCCTGGCCAACATGGTGAAACCCCGTATCTACTAAAATTACAAAAGATAGCCAGGTGTGGTGGCAAGCGCCTGTAATCACAGCTACTCAGGAGGCTCAGGTAGAATTGCTTGAATCCAGGAGGTGGATGTTGCAGTGAGCCAAGATTGTACCACTGCAATCCAGCCTGGGTGACAGAGTAAGACTCCATCCCCCCTCCTCCCCCCCCACACACACAAAGTTTCAAAAAAATTAATTATGCACCCCAAGGAACTAAAAAAGCAAGAACAAACCCCAAATTAGGTCGAGGAAAGAAGTAATAAAAATCAGAAGTAAAATAAGTGAAATTGACACCAAAAATAATACAAAAGATCAGAAAAACAAAATGTTGTTTTTTAAATAAGAAAAAATTAACAAACCACTAGACTAAGAAAATAAAGAGAGAAGATACAAGTAAATTAAATCAGAAGTGAAAAACTAGACACAACAACTGAGACCACAGAAATTCAAAGGATCATTACAGACTATTATGAACAACTATACTCCAACAAATTGGAAAACCTAGAGGGAATGGATAAATTCCTGGACACATAAACCTACTGAAATTGAGCCAGGAAGACATAGGAAGTCCGAATAGACCAATGAAGACTTACAAAATTGCAGCAGTAATATAAAGTCTCCCAAGAAAAAAATATTTTTGAAAGGGAAGAATTCTTACAAACTCATTTTTTGAGGCTAGCATTACCCTAATACCAAAAGCAAAGAACACAACAAAAAGAAAACTATAGGCTGATATCCCTGATGAACACAGATGCAAAAATCCTCAACAAAATACTAGCAAACAAAATCTAACAGCACGTCAAAAATATTATACACTATGATCAAGTGGGATTTATCCCAGGAATGCAAGGATATTTAAACATACACAAATCAACACACATGACATATCACATTAACAGAAAGAACAAAGCCGTTTGATCATCTCAATAGACTCAAAAAACATTTGATAAAATTCAGTATTGTTTCATGATAAAAACTCCCAACAAAGTAGATATACAAGGAATGTACCTAAATACAATAAAACCATATATGACAGATCCACAGCCAACATCATGCTGAATGAGGGTAAGTTAAAATCTTATATTTAGGAAAGCTAAAGACTCCACAAAACAACTCCTAGAACTGATAAACCAATTTAATGAAGTTGCAGGATACAATATTAACAAACAAAATTAGTAGCATTTCTACAGACTAACAGCTATGTGAAAAGAAATCAAAGCATACATCCCATTTATAATAGCTACCAAAAATGCATGAGAATACATTTAACTATGAAAGTGAAAGACCTCTACAATGAAAACTACAAAAGATTGATGAAGGAATTGAAGAGAACACAAAAAAAGGGAAAGACATTCCATGTTCATATATTGGAAAAACAAATCTTGTTAAAATGACCATACTCCCTAAGAATCCTACAGATTCAATGCAATCCCTAGCAAAATACCAGTGATAGAGAAAACCTTCCTAAAATGTGTATAGAACCTCAAAAGACCTCGAGTAGCCAAAGCAATTTTGAGTGCAAGGAACATAGCTGGAGACATTATAATACCTTACTTCAAAATATACTACAACCAACAAGCTATAGCAACCAACACAGTATGGTACTTGCATAAAAACAGGCACACAGACCAATAGAACATAATAGAAAACCCAGAAATATATATATATATATATATATATATATATATAAAACCTATTTATAGCCAACTGATTTTCAACAAAGTCATGAGGAACGTACACTGGGGAAAGAAGAGTCTCTTCAAAAAATAGTGTTGGGATTAATAGTCACATGCAGATGAATGAAACTAAACCCTTGTCTCTCCTTTATATGAAAATAAACTCAAAATGAATTAAAGACTTAAATGTAAGACTCATAACTATGAAATCACTAGAAGAAACACTTCAGGTCATTGGACTGGGCAAGGATTCCATGGCTACAACCTCAAAAGCACAGGAAACAAAAGAAAAAATGGACACATGAGATTATATCAAACTAAAATATGACTGCACAGCAAAGGAAGCAATCAATGGAATAATGAGACAACCTGCAGAATGAAAAAAGATATTTGCAAAGTATTCTTCTACTAAAGCATTAATATCCAGAATAGGCAAAGAACTCAAACTATCCAACAGCAAAAACCAACCAACCAACCAACAAATAGTATGATTTAAAAATGAACAAAGGATCTGAATAGACATTTCTCAAAGACACACAAATGGTTGACAAGTACATACAAAATTTAACATCGCTAGTCAATGGAAAATGAAAATCAAAACCATAATGAGATATTATCTTTTCCCGGCTAGAATACAATGTTTATATATGGGGAATGTTTATGGCAGCACAATTCACAATAGCCAAAATAAGCAACCAACTTAAGTGCCCATCGATAGACGAATGCATACAGAAAATGTCGTATATTTACACAACAGAATACTATTGAGCCATAAAAATGAATAAAATGCTTTCATTTGTGGCAACATGGATAAGACTAGAGGACATTATGTTAAGTGAAAGAAGTCAGGCACAGAAAAATAAATACTGCTTGTTTTCACTCATACATGGAAGCTATGAAAGTTGACCTCATAGAAGTAGAGTAGAATAGTGGCTCCAAGAGGCTGGGAAGGGTAGGGGGACAGGGGAGCTAGCAGGAGTAGGTTGGTTAACAGATACAAACCTGCAGTTAGATAGGAGGAATAAATTCTAGTGTTCTACAGCAGGGTGATTACAGTAAACCATAATCTATTGTATTTTTTCATATAGTTAGAAGACAAGATTTTGAACCTTCTCAACCTAAAGAAACAATAAAGGTTTGAAGTGATCTATATGCTTATTACCCTTATCTGATCATGACACATGTATACATGTATTGGAATATTACATTGTGCCTCACAAATATGTATAATTATATGTCAATTAAAACAACAGCAATAAAAATTACCCTCTTGACCCTAAATTTACATTTCATATTGGAATAAAATATTAGTTTGAAAAGGTAAAATTTCCAACAGTTTGTATGCTGCTGTGTTACAGAATTTCTCTAATTTTTAGCCAAGATTTGAATGAAAACATAATACCCTCTTCTGTCAGTTATTAGAGGATTTGGCTGCATCATTACATGAAAAACTGGCTTGGATCCAGAGATGGGCAATGTCACAGAACTCATTGCCTAACACATCTGAAGTTTAACCCCAGTTGCAATTTCTGCCATTGGGATCTGTGAAATTGCCATTTCTTCATAAATAAACCACTCTACTTAAGCTAATGTGAGTGAATTTCTTTTCTTTCTTCCTTTCTTTCTTCCTTCCTTCCTTCCTTTCTTTCTTTCTTTCTTTCTTTCTTTCTTTCTTTCTTTCTTTCTTTCTTCCTTCCTTCCTTCCTTCCTTCCTTCCTTCCTTCCTTCCTTCCTTCCTTCCTTCCTTTCTCTCTCTCTCTCTCT